AAGCCCCGCCCAGGGGGCGTGTCTTCGGAAGCCCCGCCCACATCGGCCCACAGGCCACGCCCACTACACTTTCCGACTTTTGGTGGATGCGCCAAATTTCAAATTTTGGTGGATGCGCCATTTTTTGAAAATTGGTGAAGGAACTGCTGAAAAATGGACCCAAGACGATTAGGAACACCCGAAGGACCATTGGACGCAGCCAGAGGCTTCCCAAGAAGCCAGATGACTCCAAGAAGCCCGCCGACCACGCAGCCTCCCAGGAAGAGGAAGAACTCCAGCCCATCCATTCTGGACGACGCAGAGAAGGCCGCAGCGGAAATCGAGACCACAAGGAGAGACATGGACGAGGAGGACACAAGGATCGAACAAGGGATACAGGACATACTGGTGAGTACGGTCCAAGATAATAAAAAGAGACGGATAAATGAACTGAATGAAACTGACAACAATACTGACAATGACGACAAAGACGAGAACACCATTGACAAACTGATCGCACTTAAGGACAACATAATACGGGCCACCTCGAGGATGGAGAAAGGTAAACTAACGTTCAACAGGGCGGACCAGACGGTAGTCCAGGAGAGTCTGCAGGCACTGACAAACATAATGATTAAACTGGTGTACAATTACGGACAGACAGTAGGACAAAAACAGACGACAGAGACAGACACTAAGACAACTAACAAAGACAACACAATACTGAAGGAAATCAAGGAAATAAAAATGTCACTAAACCAACGAACAACGAACAGAGAGACAAGCAGAAGACAGATGGACAAACTAGCCGCTGCCCCCAAGACACTAGTACCACACACAACGGACGACGAGACAATTGACACTGACGAGGACTGGAAAGTCATCAGACGAAGGACTCGCAAGACCTACGCGGACATGACTAAAGACAAAACCGACAAAACCACGAAAGAAAACACGGGATGGACTACACCGCCGACAGTGGACAACCTACGGACAATTGTAGCCATAGACAACGTGACAAACCCGAGACAGGTGGTGGACAAAATCAAGCAAGCCACTATGACAGAAACAAACAAACAGGGAGGACTGAGGAATATCATTCCCCTACCAGGGGGGAAAGTCATACTGCACTGCCGGGACCAAGCGCAAAAGACAACACTAATGGGCTCATTGACAAAGGACAAGGATCTGGTGGTAATAGATAGGATAAAGCATCGACCAAAATTTACAATTACAGGAGTGACAAAAGGCACGGACGGTCAAGGACTTACAGACAATGACATCATCGACATGATACTAAACGAAAACGACGACATAAATGACAAATACGGACAGGATCTAAAGAAAAGGCTGAAGATAGTTGCAAGAAAAAACTGCAGGAACGCGTTCAAAGAAAACATCGTAGTCGAAGCCGACGTGGAAACTTTTAAATACTTTGTAAAAAAGGACCGAGTCTACATTGACATGGTAGCTACACAAATCCAGGAAGCCGTGAGCGTCGGTCTATGCTTCAACTGCCATAAATATGGACATGTAGCTAAATATTGCAAGGACGAAGCAAGGTGCCACCTGTGTGGAGGGAGCCACAACCATACGAAATGCGAGGCCAAACATCTAGACTGCCTCAACTGCAAAGCGGCCAAGATACCGGAGGGACACCGACATCACTCCGCACGCGACAAACTCTGCCCCATTTACGAGAGAAAACTTAGACAAAGCAGACAATACATACAGTACGAACCATGAAACTATTACAAATTAACATTGACAGAGGACGTAACGCAACAGAACTACTATTACAAACACTAAAGGACAACGACATTGACGTGGCAATTATACAAGAACCGTACAACAAGTGGACAGGTGACAAAACTTACAAAATTCACAGGACAAATGACACGTCTAAGACACAAATATGGACAAAGGCAAACATGACTAACGTGACCACACGAATGGACCTCTCGACGAAAAACATGACAACCGTACAAATCACTGACAAAGGACAAAACACACTGTACATTACTTCATTTTATGACGAACCGGGGGGACACTTAAACCAAAGACTTGACCAACACACGAGGTTACTACACAGGATACAAGACAGACACATACTGGCGGGGGACTTCAACGCACATAACCAGGCATGGGGAGGCGACAATACGGACAAACGGGGCGACGACCTACTAGAATGGGCACTGACAAATGGTTATGACATTGAGAATGACAGACAACAAAGACCAACTTTTGACGGACCAAGGGGACAAAGTTTTATTGACCTGACATTGACCAAAGCGACGAAAATTTCAAACTGGACAGTACTTGACGAGGAAACGCTTAGCGGACATAGATATATTACATACACTACTGCACACCCACACAAGACGATTAAAGACAGAATAACCTGGACCTACGACTTTGAGAACACCAACTGGACAGCATTTAGGAGTACAATTGAACAAGGACTGAACATGACAACTGACTATGCGGACTCTGACATTGACCGGAGAGCGACGATATTACAGGACATTTGTAACAAGGCATGCACCAAACACATAAAACGAAAACAGGTGACGGAATGGTCACAAGACAATTGGTGGACACCGGAACTACAGACATTACGACAGACATGTAGGAGACTAAGACGCAAAGCTCAAAACGCGACAACAGACAGGGAACTAATCTGGAATGAATACAGAACGCATAAATTACACTACAAAAAACAAATTAAAGAGACAAAATTACATACCCTACAGACATACATACAGGAAATTACTGACAATGACAAGTGGGACAAGGTATGGAAGTTCCTAAAATCGCCGAAAAAAACCATGGCAATGACAAACGTAAGAAAGGATGACGACACTTACACTACTGACGAACCCGACACCATAAAATACCTAATCACGAAATATTTCCCGCATGACATTCCCGAAGACGACAATGACGTAATGAAAGACTTGAGACAAATGACACCGACATACGACATAACAGAAGAAGACAACATACGCACTAGGGAAATTATTGACACAATTAACACATTAAAAAGGGGCAAGGCAACAAGTGACAGAATTCCCAACGAGGCAATGGCACATATTATCGAAGCGGCGAAACAGCCGATAACCAATCTTTACAACGAATGTTTACAAAGAGGTAAATTCCCTAAGATCTGGAAGACAGCAAACATAGTATGGTTACCGAAAAAAGACGGTTCACTTAGACCCATTTCACTCATCCCGACACTAGGTAAACTACTAGACAAACTAATCAACAAAAGACTACAACACGTACTGGAACACAACAGACACATTGACAAACGACAATTCGGCTTCCGAGAAGGCATTGGTACGATAGACGCACTTGACAGACTGACTAGGGGAATAAGACAGAACAAAGACAAACACCAACTGATAGTAACGCTCGACTTAAAGAACGCCTTCAACACGGCATGGACACCTTACATTAGACGTGAACTACAACGGACAAAAACATCAAGACAACTACAACAAATATGCATTGACTTCTTGACAGACAGGACAATAAAGACCAATGACGTGACAGCAGACCTTACGAGAGGATGCCCACAAGGATCTAGCCTAGGACCGACCCTATGGCTGCTGATCATGGAGGGCTGGTTTAGACACATTGACAAAGCAAACAATGACTACAAGACGCGACTCTCGGACGAACAACAAACTGACATAAACTATATAGACGAACTGACAGACTGCCAAGCTTACGCAGACGATCAGGTGATTGTCATTAGGGGACCATCAGCGAAGGTAATCGAGAGGAAATGGTCGCAGGTATGGCAGGCCTGCGAGACCTGGGCCCAGGAGGCAGGACTGACATATAACCCGACAAAGACTGAGACTCTCTTTATACCCAAAGGACGAAACGTACAGGACCCGACAATTCGACTAGACAATCACAAGGTAGCAAACAAGAACACAATAACGTACCTAGGACTAAAAATTGACAAAAAACTTACATTCATTGACCACGTTAAGGACATAAGACGAAAAACGGTGACAAACATGACGAAAATAACGGGAACAATGACAAGGAAATGGGGCAGAAGTAGAGAAATCTACAAGATAATCGCCGAGCGGGTGTTCGGACCGGCCGTGCTATACGGCAGCGAAATCTGGGGGCAAAACGCTGCTAACACGTTTATCAAGAGGCATCTTGAAGCGACGATGAGGCCACTGCTCCTGCTAATCTGCAGGGCCTACCGGACAACTTCAACCAGCGCGCTGCAGGTATTGGCAGGAATACCCCCCTGGTGGATTGAAGCGACATCTCGACATAGACTCTGGGACGAAAAACGACAAGACATGACCAACGCAAGACTAACGACAACAGACAAACCACACCCTGCTGCAACAGACCGTAGACACACACACAAAACAATGACAATGACCGACCGAATTTACGTGGACGCAAGCGTGGACGAACAGGGACGAGCAGGCATTGGCCTAGTAATACAAACGAGGGACGCAAACGATAGACTGGCGATTAGACTCAGCGACAACACGGACATTGACATAGCTGAGATATACGCAATAAAACAGGCAACGACATATTTACAAACCAAAGGACCCACGGACACACAGATCATCACAGACCGACAGACGGCAATACGGGACATATACGAACACAAACTGACAAAAAAAATTGTGGGACATTTACTTATTGACATTGACAAACTAATATGTGATGGTCACCGACTACGAATTGACTGGACGAAAGGACATAACACTAACGACACAGGCATAAAAACTGCAGACAAGTTAGCCCAACAGTGGGTAGGGACAGAGGGAATCTCGTTAATCCATTCATGCGCGTCACTAATTAGATGACGAGGCATTTGGCTACATCTGCTCCCCGCTCAACTAGGGAGGATTTTCCTACGGTCGCGTTGGTACGCTCGTTGTTAGTGTTGCGCCAAGTAACGGGCTGGGGCCTAGCAGAGGTTAACTCAAGCCCCGTGGTTCGCCCGTTACCTTACCTCTATCTTGCTCTTTGCCCATTTTTCTATCTAACACTCCTGGTTCGGGACCCCCCTCAGGGGAAGGATAACCCTGCCAGAGAACACCTCAGAACTTGTGGAAAATTAGCTTCAACGGGACTGCGTTGCAGTACGGCTATTGGCCCCCCGCCCCCGGATCCAAAGAGAGGGCAGGGGTTTCCGGGGAAAGCTTCGTGGAAGCTGCCGCTGAGGAAACGATGGTCGGTCGAATACCTCACCCGCCGCCGTGGCAGGCCTATTAGCCGCCTTACGACTCGCTGGTTGGATTCCGCACAATGCTACTTGAGGTCTATCTCCCAAGTGACACATATCTAGCTGTAAAGGGGCTAGATATGAGATAGCCTCGCTAAAAGAATGTAATAACTTAAATAAATAGTAGTAATAATTAAAAATAATGAATGCCGGGCTGTAAATGGGCCCGACAGACAAAATACAGAGCTTGTACAAGGCCATCACACCATCGAGCAGTACAATATAAAATTACGTGGCCAGGTACATAGCGACATTCACAGTGTATAGAATAAAGTTAAAATTGTAAAACATATATGACAAGACTTGATTAAAACAGATTAAAAGATTAAAAGATATATACATTAAAATATAACACATGTGGACAAGACTTGGAATCCAACCGCTAATGAACCAGGAGTTTGGTTCCCTCGGCTCGCCTGTTACAGGTTCATCACACGAGGGTTGTGTCGTGCGCGACGATGGGGTGCCTGATCCATGAAATCGTGGTAGATCTCAATGGACGACCGCAGTGCAATGAGACTTACCGTTAGTAACGTCTCTTTGTTGACGATTCCTAACTTAGCCAAGCAGGAAATCGTCCCCTTGGGCAATGCACCCCTTGTTCCAACCACTATGGGAAGGACTTCAGCAGAGTCCGTGTTAAACATCTGCCGGAATAGAGGCAGCAGTTGGCTATATTTATCATGTTTTGATTTCGCACCCTGAGCAAGATAGTCTCTATCTTCGTGGCGGACTGTTACGTCGACCACGAAGACCCTCCCCTGGCTCTTTACTACCAGGTCGGGTTTGAGATTCCCGCCACGGGGGAGCCTGACGGTTTGCTCCGCCGCTACTGCCACCTCTGTGCCTTTCTTTTGGACCTGTGCGCGCACAAGGTCCACTATTTCATTGTGCCGCCTGATCCGCGCCGGTTTCGTGGATATACACTGGCCGATGATGTGGCCAAGGGTTTCATTCTGTGCCTGACACGACCGGCACTTCAAATCAGGCTGCGGGACCGCTCGATTCATTGCGACCCTGTTTTCGCAAGAATTGGTGCGCATCTTGAGAGCAGTTATCATTCGGCATGGCTTCAGCAGCGGTTTACTGAGCCACGCATTGGCTATCTTACTATCAGTGAAGGCACTAACTGATAAGCCTTGCGCACGCAGGCGGCCCCATTGTGCAAGCTCCTCTTTCCTTTTGTTTTTGGTGTAGTTAGACAATGCTTGGCCGTCCAGTGGCCAGGAAAGGCGTTGGGACCGAGCTAGCCTAGCGAGACGGCTTTCCAAACCAGACTCGGTCACGAGAGCTTGCACTACCGGGTCGGGGAGTTCCATGAACTGTTTACCGGCTCTCAGGGATGACGCTGTTATGCTCCATTCCAGCTTAGGGAGCCCTAGTCCCCCGTCTCTTTTACCGCAGTAGAGGAGGCAGTTTGTGGTCGACTGCGGTAAATGTAGTATATTTCTTACCATTACCCTTAGCTCCTGGTCTAGCGAGCGGATCAGATTCAGTGACGGTACTCCGACCGACAACTGATAAAGGTAATGTGGGACTAGGTAAGTGGTGATTAAGTCTACCTTCTGCATGGGCTTCAATTTTAGTTTTTGTGTGCGTAGGAGGGCTGCGTCAAGTTCCTCCTTTATGCTCTCAATTTGCACTCCTGCCCAAGGGGAAATTTTCATACCGAGGTAGACAAGGCAATCGCCGGCCCCCGCCGCCGGTATTCCTTCACCACTATTGAGTGTCAACCCGGGATCAGCCAAGGACCAGGAGTCTCGTGACTTAATTATACGGAATGTAGCGCATTTACTAGCCGCTACTGACATACCTAGCCCCTTTAGGTATGCTTCCGTATATCTCAGCTGATCGTTAGCCTGTTGTGGCTTGTCGGCGACTAGGACCAGGTCGTCGGCAAAGGCTAAGGTCGCAATACTTGTGTCATTGTTTATAGTATATCCGGGTTGACTTTCCAGCGCGGTGATTAATGGGTCTAGTACGAGGTTAAATAACAGGGGACTTAGCGGGTCGCCCTGCTTAACCCCGCGCTGGAGGCGAATCCCAACTGTCGCCTTATTAACCTCGATTTCTGTGTCCACATCCTTGTAGGCATCCTCCACTAACCTCACAACAAAGTCGGGGATGCCCTTACGTACTAACGCCGGCCTGAGAATAGAATGAGGCACCGTATCGAACGCCTTAGATACGTCCAACTGCGTTAGCACCAAGCCCTGATTGCGCTTCGAGTGCCGCAGCAACTCGTTTAGGATGTGGACATTGTTGAAGCACCCCGGCTCGTTAATGAAGCCTTTTTGCCGGGGCGAGAAACGCACATGTGCTCTGATTCTTTGGTCGATGATCCCGAAATAGACTCGGCTCAGCAGTGATGAGATGGTTATTGGCCGGTAGCTTTCGGGTCTCGTTGGATCCTTCCCATCCTTCAGAAGCAACTTAGTGCGATTCTTCCTCCACCCTGATGGTATTCTGCCGGATACCATTATGAAGTTGAACAGTCGGTGGAGGACTTCATACACCGCGGGCCTTTTGATGTCTTGAAGTTTGACCCCATCAGGCCCCGCGGCGGTGGATCGTTTGACCCTGGCGACTCTGTTGCGAACCTCTTCTATGGTTATATGCGGTAGCACGCAACGCAACTCCTTCTCCTCTTCGGAGTCGCCAAGGCTAGGAAGCTCTGTCGGTGGCTGCGTGCCCCACAGCTTCCCGTAGAGTTCCCGTACGTCCGTCTCTGAGCACCCCACAGTGGGCTCATCGATCCAGTCTATGCCTTGACGGACGTACCTGGCAATCAGGCCTGGATTTGTTTCGTACATATTTTGGGTTCGGGCGAACAGGTATTGCCTCCGAGAGGCCTTCCCCTTGCCCTTACCCTTGCGACGGGCGCTCCTCCGCTCGCTGTTGGTCAAGCAGGCGGTGGCTGAGGAGTACACATCATCAACAAACTGTTGAGGCACTGTGCATGTCATCTCCCTTACCAAACGGAGTCCGTCGTCCAAGACCCGCACGGCGTCTTGGAGCTCTTGAGATCGTCGGGCGTTCTGGGGCAGTTCGAGGCCTAGAGTGGTCTCGACGATCTCACTTCTCCAGGCGGATATGTCTGGAGGTACCCCCGGATCTGTTCCTTCACCATCCTGTCTGTCATTGGTTGGCTCATCCTTCTGTCCCTCCGAGGACAGTTCGGTCAGGCTGTCCCCTGCTTGATCCGGGGGAGGGCCATCTTGCACCATGGCTGCCGCCGGCCCGGGCATTTCTTCACTATCCTCGTCGCCGCTACTATCCTGGTCCATGACAAGCGACCCCTCGAAGCTTTCACCGGCTTCCTCGATTTCCTCGATTATTCCGGCCTCTAAGGCCGCCTGGAACACCTTCTGATAGTAGACGGCGCTTCTACGTTTTTCCCTTATTTGCTTAAGGGTCTTGCCCGGGCAGAGCGGAGCTATCTTAACAGCCATTCTTGGTTCACCCCAGTACAACAGCTCCACGTCAATCATGCGTGAAATGTCCTCCTCGGTAAATAGGGTTTCCTTTCTACCGGGAAGACCGATGGCCCTGTCCTGTGTACTGGCCACTCTGGCAGCATTTCGGGTGACCGGGTGCGCCGCTCGCTCGTGGGTTGATAACCCACGTCTGGTTGTAAATTTCCGACCGCAGTCGGAACATACAATACCTGCGGGAGGGTTTTCTGCCTTTGGGCCGGTGCATTTGCCCAAATGCACTTCGGCCGCATGTCTCTTTGTGTATGTTTTGTCACACCTCCCGCAGATGAATCTCGTTAAAACATCCGGGTGGGCGGATTTCACGTGCCTTACCAGCTCATTTATTGAGAGAAGCAGGTTGTTGATTCTGTCGTGGTGCAGGCATTCCACGCACGACTGAGGCTGGTAGGGCAAAGGCACGCAAATGGATCCGTCCACCCTTCTCATAGTCAGGTTTCGCTCTGGTTGGTTGGTATCTTGATCTCCCAGGATAGGTTGGCCCGGGGGCTGGAGATCGTCGCCCCCGGGATTCAATTGCCGTGTCTCGCCATTTCCGTCTTCATGACCCCCCTGATCCAATAAGACCGAGGGTTGGGGGTCGTCACCCTCGGAATCCGAGGCCCTCTCCTCCAAGCTGGTGGCAAGTAGTGTGAGAACCCTGGCCTGCCAAGCCGCTGGATTCCATTGTGCCCCACGCTGTACACGACGTGAGGCGAAGAAAAACGTGTTCGAGCGTTGGCCATACCCTGCTGCAAACTTCTGCCAAACCCCGAAAATCGACCGACAGAAAAAGGGGCGCATGCACGGAAACCGCACATGCGCCCCATATCTCCGCGGAGACATCCGGGAATCTCCTAAAATCGACTGACAGAAAAGGGGCGCATTTGCACGGCAAGCCGCACAAGCGCCCCACATTCCGACAGTGACCCGTTGGAAATTTTTTGACAGAAAAGGGGCGCATTGTGCGAGAAACGCACGCGCCCCAAATTTACAACCACCCCCAAGTCCACATGACAAGAGGGCTAAGATATGTTTCCAGCAGTCGCTACGAGGAAGCCCTCGAACGCCGTACAAACCGTAGTTTGTTTCGGAGATGGCCCGTGTAACCATCGAGCAACCATGAACGCAAGAACTGCGCCTTCTTAAAAGAGTCATAGTTACTCCTGCCGTTTACCCGCGCTTGCTTGAATTTCTTCACTTTGACATTCAGAGCACTGGGCAGAAATCACATTGCGTCAACACCCGCTGGGGCCATCGCAATGCT